ATGAGTCTCCAAATCTTAGGCTTTAAACAGCTTTTGGTCACAATATCAAAATCAAAGCAAAATTCACTTGAGAGTCTTTACAAGCCCAAAATGTAAATGTAAATTGTCGTGAATTGAACCAAAACATGATGTGAAACAGTTTAGTAACTCCTTCCCCAGTAGGTCCATTTCTTCGCAGGCTTTCCCGACGCAAAGCAGAGAGTGCCTGCATCATCGGAAAAACATCAAAGCTTCGTGTCAATGTGTGGACAAAATTTATGAAGCAAAGTTACTCGAGAGAGAGATTAGAATCTTAAAATGTGTCAATGTCACTGACCTTCAGGGAGTTCTGGCTGATCAAATGGAGAACAAAGGGTCTTAGCTGCTCCAGTTTCACCTTTAGTACGTGCCTTAACGTCTCTCTCCACTTCCTACAAAGGGTTTGATTTTAAAAGAGCTTAGAATTGCATCCTCTCAAGATTTGATTCTATAAGGTGGAATAAGAGTTTTTGTTGAAATGTACCTCTTCATCACACCAGGGAGCTAAGATGAGTTTCTTTTTGTTGAGAGCTTCGATAAACTCATCCCACGTCTTTATCTCTTGAACACATGCCTCCCTCTTTTGCTTCGCCACTTCATACATGTTCAGCTGGATCTTCTCGAGCAGTTCCTTTACATGTTCGACTAAGCTGTCTCTTGGGATATCTTCTTTAACTCCGTTGTCCCGTCTCACAGTTCTGACCTATGAAGATGCAAACCAAAGAGAAATGAAAACAATTTTAGCTACATTACAAGTTTATTTATCCAAGCCAACCATCGCTGTCTTCTCACTCTACTATTATAAGGTGAAGAAATAGAGGAGACATTCAATGGACTGACCTGATTCTTTTCCAGATCTCTGGGTCCAATCTCGATTCTCACTGGAACACCCTTCATTTCCCAGTCTGAATACTTCCATCCGGGAGAGTAGTTGTCCCTTAAATCTTCTTCTGCACGGAAACCGGCTTCACACAAGGCAGATGCAGTAGCAGTACAAGCATCATAAATTCCTTGCATATTGGCATCTTTGTAGGGCACAGGGATCACAACAACTTGTACAGATGCGACTTTAGGAGGAAGTACCAGGCCTTTGTCATCCCCATGGGTCATTATCATCACTCCAATCTATACAAGGTTTAAAATTGAAAAGTTAACAGTGATAGATAGAACTCATGAGGAAAAATAGCCTAGGTCATAATTCAAGATTTACCGTCCTGGTACTGTAAGCCCAAGAATTCTGCCACACCATTGCTGTTTCTCCTTTCTCGTTCTCATAGTTGATCTCAAACATCTTGGCAAAGTTCTGTCCCAAACAATGAGAAGTTGCACCTTGTACACCACGACCGGTGTTTGGAATGAAAGCCTATAAAATCAAAGTTTTCATTCATAAAAGAGTAAATCCACAAGAAAAATGATCATGTCTCTGAAAAAAGTAGATAAATTGCATACCTCTACACTTGTAGTGTAAAGTCCCCCAGCAAACTTCTCATTTTCACTCTTCATACCTTTCACAACTGGGACTGCGAGATACTCTTCATATATGCGACGGTAAAGCTCTAAAATTTGAAGGACCTGAAAACAATAGGAGCAGTATGAAGACATGAATTCTCATGAGTGATGTTGGGCTGCTAATTATAACCCTTGTCTGTTGTAAAAAAGAGAGAACTTGAACCGCAATGCAAGCAAAAGATCAAGTTCACCTACCTCTGTATCTGCTTCTTCTTTCGTGGCAAAAGCAGTGTGCCCTTCCTGCCAAAGGAACTCACGACTCCTGCAATTTAATAGGTTAGGCAATTTAATGAGTAGCTCAAGAGAGAATCAAACAAGACAAGTAGAAAGGAGTAAATGATAATCAAATACCGGATAAATGGGGTAGGGTTGCTGAATTCCCATCTGACAACATTGCACCACTGGTTAAGCTTCAAAGGCAAGTCACGGTGTCCCCTTATCCATTTGCTGTAGTAAGGGTACATCACTGTCTCACTAGTTGGACGAATAGCAATTGGGACTTCCAAGTCAGATTTACCCGACTTTGTAACCCAAGCAACCTTAACAAACATTCAAATCTGTTAAACCAAAGCCTCTTTGTCACAAAGAAAAACCTTCGAGATTTAAGATATACAAACCTCTGGGGCGAATCCTTCGATGTGGTCCTTCTCCTTCTCCAGGACAGCAGGAGATACAAACAAAGGGAAATAGCAATTCTTGACCTTCATTTTCTTGATTTCCGCATCAAAGAAAGTCTAGCAATAGAAGCATGGAAACAAAAATGATCAAAATTCTAATTTCTCACTCTTGATTCCACTACCTATCAAAGCGATTGACTT